ATGAATAAAAAATAAAACTTTTGAATAACAAAACAAACCATAAGCAAAGTCCAAAGGAAAATGAGATAAGAGATTATGTTTGCAAAATATATAAGAAAGGATTAGTATACAGTATAATTTTTTAAAACTTCACATCCAATAGAAAAACATGCAAAAGACATGAACAGAAAAGTCACAGAAAAACCAAATGTGTGATACTCAAACAAGAAGCTCAACTTCACTTGTAATCAGCAAAATGCTAATTAAATATTAAATCCTCTATGATTACCCCAAGGTAAAAATGTTAATAATTTCAAGTGTGGGTGATGATACGGATACACATACTCTGTCACCCACTGCAGACTGGAGTATAGATTGGTGCAGACAACCTGTGGAGGGGACTTTCGTAGCATCTACTAACTCTAAAAATGCACTTGGACTATGACACAGATTCTATTTCTCACATATTTACACACGAGAAACGTTCTTACATGTTTACAGGGAGGTATAACCAAGTATGTTCACTACAGCAGTATTAGCAATAACAAAATAATTTTAAGCAACCCAAGTGTCTATCAATATGAGAGTGGTTAAAATTAATCAAAGATAAATTACGACATATCCAGAAGTAAAAGGAAGCCAGTGTATATGGATTTTAACGAACAAGGAAGAAAGTGGACAGACAGGGCCACCATACAGGCTGTTCATTGAACATCTCCAGGGAGCACTTTTCACATAGACTGAAACGTGAATGGCACCCCATGGAGTTGTGCAGTGTACCATCTGCATAATGATACCTGGGGGACTTGCAGATGGGGATGATGTCGGGGATTTAACAGGAAACCAAATCATACAAAGCCTCAGAGGCCATGGTAAAGAATCCGCATGTTATTCTAAGTAAAATCCCTAAAGATTATAAACAGGGGAATGAATTCATGGGGGGTTTTTTTGTTGTTTTTTGTTTTGTTTTGTTTTGTTTTTTTGCAGTACACGGGCCTCTCACTGTTGTGCCCTCTCCCGTTGCGGAGCACAGGCTCCGGACACGCAGGCTCAGCGGCCATGGCTCACGGGCCTAGCCGCTCCGCGGCATGTGGGATCTTCCCGGACCGGGGCACGAACCCGTGTCCCCTACATCGGCAGGTGGACTCTCAACCACTGCACCACCAGGGAAGCCCGAATTCATGTTTTTAAAAGATTCCTCTGGCAACTATGTGAAATGAATTAGAGGGGATTCAGAGGAGTGAAAGGTCAATTAGGAGTGTATTGCAATGGTCTAATCAAGAGGCGATAGTGACCTCAATCTGGATAGTGGCAATGGAAATGGAAAGTTGTAGATAGACATAAATATATCATCCAGACAGGATCTGCAAGACCTGCTGATGCATCACCCTGGCAAAGGCAGAGGAAACGTTGGAGAGAGTGCAGTTAGGATGACTACCAGTTTTCTGTACAGAGCCGTGAATGGATAAGGGATCCATTTACTGATCTAAGGAAGTCTGGGGGAGGAATATTTTCGAGCAGTACAATTTCAAACATGTTAAGTTTGATATGACTGAGATATCCAGGACAAGTTATCAATGAGAAAGATGGCTATATGAGATTGAGCTCAGAGAAGAGGTTTAGACAGATATAAATATTCAAAGAGCTGTGATATGTTTTTTGAGCACATGGAACTAGATGAGATCAACAAGAGAAAGAAAAAAAGAGGGAGGAAGCTAGGAAAGCACTGAGGAATTATAAAATTTAGAGGACAGAGGCACATGCAGCCAGAGAGATAGAATGGGAAACCAGAAGAAATGGCTGAGATGTCCTTCAGTGAGGGAACTGCTAAGGAAATTATCCTATATCCATTCTATAAAATATCATGCCGACACAAATACAGTCAGTTAATCTTTGACAAAAGAGCAAAAGCAATACAATGGAAAAAAGATAGTCTTTCAAACAAGTGGTGTTGAAAAAGCTAGATATGCATATGCAAAAAAATAAGTCTAGACATAGACATTATCCTCTTCTCAAAAATTAACTCAAAATGGATAGTATACCTAAATGTAAAATACAAAACTATAAAACTCCTAGAAGATAGGAGAAAAATCTAAATAACCTTGAGTTTGGTGATGACTTTAGATGCAACACCATAGGCAGGACCCGTGAGAGAAAGAATTCAGTTGGACTTCATTAAAATTAACAGCTTCTGCTTTGCAAAGGACTTTCAAAATAATGAGAATACAAGCCACAGACCGGGAGAAAATATTTGCAAAAACATGTCTGAGAGAGGACTGCTATCCAAAATATGCAAAGAACTTGTAAAACTCACCAACAAGAAAATGAAAAACCCAATTTAAAAATGGGCAAAGGATCTGAACATACACCTCACTAAAGAAGATATACAGATGGAAAATAAGCATAAGCAAAATGATCCGAATCATATGTCATTAAGGAACTGCAAATTAAAACAACTGTGAGATACCACACCTACTAAAACAGCAAACATCAAAAACACTGACGACACCAAATGCTAGAAGTGGTGTAGGGCAACAGGGATGCTCATGCACTGCTGGCAGGAATTCAAAATGATACAGCTACTTTGGAAGACAGTGGGCAATTTTTACAAAACTAAACATACTCTTACCAATGATCCAGCAATGACACTCCTTGGTATTTAACCAAATGAGTTAAAAACGTATCTCCACACAAAAAACCTGTGCACGGTTGTTTATAGCAGCTTTATTCATAATTGCTGAAACTTGGAAGCAATCAGGATGTCCTTAAGTCAGTGAATGGATAAATAAGCTGTTGTTCTTACAGACAATGGTATATTATTCGTCACTGAAAAGAAATGAGCTACCAAGCCATGAAGACATGGAGGAACCTTAAATACCTATTACTAATTGAAAAAAGCCTATCTGAAAAGGCTACAGACTGTATGATTCCAACTCTGTGACATGCTGGAAAAAGCAAAACTATGAGGACAATAAAAATATCAGTGGTTACCAGGGGGAGGGGAGAAAGGAAGGGTACATAAATGAAGCACAGTAGATGTTTAGGACAGTAAAACTATTTTTTATGTCACTATACATTTGTCAAAATCCACAGAATGTACACTAAGAATGAACACTAAGGTAAACCATGGACTATTTTTAACCAAGTCTATTTTTAAAAATACTGTGCAAGTATTTAAAAGAACCAATAGGCAAAACACGCTAAAGTCAAAGTTTCGTGAAGTCAGATTATTGAGTAAAAAAGGCAAGTATATTATGTATAGTTTATATATAATATGGTTTCATTTATGTGAAATAAATCAGATACTAGATATACAAACACATTAATTGTATGTGCACTGAAAAACAAGGCCTGGCTATATAATATTCAATAAACTGTTAATAGTGGTTCCTGGGAATTAAGAGAAGAGAAAGAAGAATGACATTTCATCTTTTTACTTTACAGTCTTCCGCATTATTTAAATGACATAATAAATAGGTATTGCTTTAGTAATACTTAAAATAATAATTTCAAAAGGACACACTTTTTAAACCTTCTCTGTATTCTTAATATAAACTTTAATTCAGTGTTTATGAAAATATGGTTCAAGTGACACCTAAGTCAGAAATACCTGGATGTTTATGAAAATATACTTCCTAGACCGCATCTCAGTTTTAATAATTCAGATGCTCTAGCAATGAGGTACAGGACTTTGCATCCTTAGCAACTACCCCAGGTGATTCTAACTTCTGCCAATCTGAATTGCAATAAGTCAAAATGAATGATGTAGTTGCTTAAAAATCAGCAAATGCCTCTGGGGTAAGCACTTACCAGATACCTATCAGCCTAAAAGTGAAAGACAACAGTTAGTACAGGCCTCACCCAGAGGGAGAAAAGGCAAAATAACTAGATTAATGGCTCAAGGTAAGTGGTGAACCAGCACACACACAAGAAGCACTGTCCCATTATAAAATGAGAAAGAAAGAAGGAATATAGACTCCGTAAAGAGATAAAAACTGCCAAGTGTTCAGAACTTTCCTTCTTCGTCTCATAATTCCCATCTGGTCAGTTATACACAGAAGCAACAAGTAATATCTGAGGGACTATAAATCTGTATAAATGATTCTACTTCAATTCATATTGAAATGAATTTTCTCATGCTTAACCTGAAGTAAAACCCAAGAGTTAGCACCTTCTGCAGAGGTATGGTTCTAAATTAATGCCAAGTAAACTGACATTTATTTCGATTTATATAATCACTTAGGGACTTCCCTCGTGGTCCAGTGGTAAAGAATCCACCTTCCAATTCAGGAGACTGGGGTTTGATCCCTGGTCAGGGAACTAAGATCTCACATGCTGCAGGGCAACTAAGCCCACGCGCCACAACTATTGAGCTCGCGCACCTAAGCGAGAGCTCGCATGCCGCAAACTACAGAGTCCATGCACTCTGGGCCCCACACGCCCTAGAGTCCACGCGCCACAACTAGAGAAGCCCACAGGCCTCAACAAAGACCCCACATGCTGCAACTAAGACCAGACACAGCCCCCCAAAATAATAATAAAGAAAAAATAAAAATAAAAAAATATATATATAATCACTTAAAATATCTCGACTTGATTACAGTTTATATTTTAATCAGATATATAGAAACTGAAGAATAATTCATATAGTGATGCCTTCTATCTTCCCCTAATTGAGTCTTTTTTAATGTAAGCATTTTTAATGTAAGACATTCCCTAGAATCTCACATTTTTGAGAAACGAATAAGATATTCTCAGAATCTATGCATCTGAAGTCTTTCTATAATGCAACCTGGAGCAGAGGATTTGTGTCACACAGTACCAAACAAAAGGAGCACAGAAGGTTTTTTTAATTGGCCTCTAGTTAGTGGGATTAGAACAGAGTTACCAAGGTTCAATGTGTTCAGCTGGGAGCAACTCTTGGAAGGTAAGTTCTTAAATGACAAAACTATGTGAATTTATTGTATTTATGAGCAATACACTTTTGAAATTCAGGTCTTTGTTTTGTTTTGTTTTTTAAGCTTTGTCTATAAGTGATCCATCTTTCAAAAGCCACGAATTATCCTGGATGTCTTTTGCTTCCTTTCCTGTTCGAAAAAAGACACATATTCAATTGCAGTTCCAGCCTCTTACTGCAGATGGCATCCTATTCTACGTTGCCCAACGCTTAAAAGCAGAGTCAGGTAAAGTTGGCAAGATCTTTGCTGGGGAAAAAAAAAATTCTAATGAATTCCTAATAGGCTCTTAAATGATGTGTCATAGAGTATTTTTTTAAGTCACTTAGTCTATAAAATATGTAAACATTTGATCTTTTTGTTCTATTGTCACTGCAAATGTATGCTTTGAATTGACTCCTAAATATGAATGTGAGCAAAATAGCAAGAGCTTTGTTAGAATTACAGTTAGCAAAGTCCAAATATAGCATATGCTCAACTTTATAACAATCCCATCAAAAAAAGAGGTTGAAGCTATGCATAATAGTCCTATGTCAAAATGGACAAAATATGCATATATAAGATAAAGGAAAGGAAGGCATGACTGATATATTCCCAGTAAATCCATCCACATTTATAACTCAAAAAAATTCCTTTAAGCTATTCAGTCATTTAAATAGTAAACCTGGGACCCATGTTCCAAAATAAGTTTATAAAAATGTTTTTTTTACTATAAAAATTGCATAAATTATCATAAAATAATATGAAATAAAACTATTTTAGTATGTTTCAGTTTGAAATTTTGATTTTTGTTTTTATTGCTAACTCTTGATTTCCATCTTCATAATATCTTTCTCCAGAACTTTGACAAAGACATTTGCCTATATAGTTACATTTCTACTGCCAAATATTTTTAAATGTTTACATTTGGCTTTTCTTTCAACTTGTTTCTCAGAAAATGAAATTTTGGTAATGATAATTAAATCAGTTTATTTTGTTTCAACAGTGAACAAAAATGATGCTCTGATTTTCACAATCTAGTATAAGGAGTTCTTTTAAAGGTGTCTCATTATGCTGCTAAATAATGAGACTCTCAGAGAATTAGACAAAAGTGGTTCCATCTCAAGGCACTGGTAAAATGCTTTCAAAATAATTTCAAGGAGAAAAGATAAATCTCTTAGAAGAGGTTTGTTCTCCTGAGATTTGATATTTGGTTTTAAATGTATGATTGATTTAAATCTCCCCGTGAAAATGCCAAACGGGAGAATCATGTGCAAACAGAAAATTTCTATTTTTAAATCAAGAGACATTAAAAGACAATCATATTAAATTGTATTGCTCATAAAAACTCAAGGTTTTTTTGATATGATAAGGGCAGAAAATCAAGAGATATTCAGGACTGTGACTGGCCAAGACGTTGTGCTATCATTTTATAATCAGTACACTGGATAGGTATATTTATGTATATAAAATAAAAGGCTCATTTACATTAACACACATAGGAGAGAGGGAGCACACTTTCTTACATCTAAATAGCTTTGTATTTCAGTTCATTACAGTCAAGATTTTCCTTTTTTATGCCCTTAGACACTATTAAAAAGATGAAAATAGATTAGTTTCAAGTCATAACTGGTGCTGCATTTGACATTTATGTAAGGAACTCATGAAAACTTTAAAATATTAAATCTATACTCTACATTCTCAGACTTGGATTAACCTGGAGGTAATTATCAGATGAAAGGCATAAACTTATTTATTAATAATCAGGTGGTAAAGTATGTTTCATTCATTTAAGTTTGCATAAAATACAGGTGACTGCCCCGTACTTTGACCTTCTCTAAGAGCTATGTCTGATATAAACATTAACCAAGCCTTCTAGCTGATCCTCTGCTAAGAGGAGCTATTGGTAAAAATGCCCAAACATTTAATACACAACGTCAAAACCCACAAATTTAGATATCAGCAGCCAGTTAGGTTTTCATATGTAGAAAAACAAATTCTCAATTAACAAGGTTTCTGTTTCTCTTTAGAGCTTAATAATTTGAATATTTCAAATAGTGCAAAATTTAAAACAAAATAACTTAAAAATTATCCTAGTTGATTTTAGATCTCTGATTATGGAAAGAAATTTTAAAGAGATAAACCCTGGCACTTGTTTATCTGTTTCTGCTAAATATTTAATACCTTAAAATGAGCTTTTTTGATACAAAATCAATTTTATGTTAAGCACCAATTAATCACAGATAGCCTGAATTCAACTTGATGTGGTTACAATCCTCACAGATAAATGTGTATTGAAAAAGCCTCATCACCCACAATGTAAAGTCAAAGCATATTCAAACACCTGAACAATAAAAGAGAAATAAGACAAGAGTAAACAAGCAAAGTTGCGTTAAGATTAGCCTTCCTTGGCTGAAGCTATTCTCCTTGGTCTTTCTTCTGGTTGTCAACTTGGCCAGTAATATTACAGATCACAGCTTCAGCTTTCCTAATCATTTTTTAGATATTTTTTATTCCAATGTAGCTCTTTATTGAGGATTATTTACTATAGAACATGCTACAAGTAGCAAGAGAAACTTCTTCCATGATCCTGTGAAAGAGGTTTGTGCCCACTTGCAGGCCATAAAGTATATTCGGAGTGTTATAAATTTTAAAACTTAATATCAATTATATTTCATTGTTCTAGGTTCTGTGGTATAAAAATTTAGATGATTCAATCTGTACTTAATTTTTTCATATATAACCTAAAATCTCATAATGCAGCTTTTCTCTTTCTTTAGGCTTAAAATGGTGTTTATGTTAGAAAATCCATGAATAAACTGAATTTCTTCCTTTTGTCGGGAAAATTTTTAAACTTATATATATTACAGGGAAAAGATCTTTTTGTTTTTTTTTTGCTTTCAGCCTAAAACTAGTTGTTGAGAAATACTGAGTCATCTCACCCCACAAGTATACAAAAGGAATTTCCTAATTGAACAATTACTTATGAGCATCTTCTGTGCCAGACACTGTGCACGGTGCAGGGGATAAAGTGTTGAGCCAAAGTGGCACAGATCCTATTCTCATGAAACTTACAAGTTGGTGGATAAGGCAGCTGTTAGTCAAATAATCACGGATGTAATGACGTAGATTATATTCACTAGAAATTCTCTATGAGGAAAAGGATTAAAAACAAGACAACCATATTTTGCATGGGTTCATACAGGTGGAAATGAGAGGTGTGTGACTTTAGAGCTGCTAGGTCTCCCAACCATCCTTGAATAGCTTGGTGGGGACCACAAAGGGGAGGAAAAAGAACAGACATTGCGCGCTGGAAGGAGGTGAGACAGTGTGGACCATGCATGTAGGAGGAGAGTACCACTTGTCAAGAAATCTCCCTGGACAAGAAGAGGGAAAATTTTACTGGTTGTGAAATGTTAGGGGCAAGGGAAAATACAGTCTCAAGGAAGATTTCTACATGGTTTGCTATGTTAAACACTTTGCTGCCCTCTGGAAGGAATCTTACCTTGCAGGGCTACATTCTTTTCCCAGGCATGGAGAGTTGCATTTGCTTTTCCTCTGAATGCCTCACTGTAACTTCATACACATGCTGGATCCTATTTGTTCAGATTTGTTCAGACATGACTATAGAGTTATAAAATGAGATAAATATTGTGAAGGAGAGAAAACTAGTGCTATTAAAGCAGTATAGTGGAATCAAGGAAGACTTCTCTGAGGAAGTAGCATTTGATCTGAGACCTGAAAGATGGGCAGGAGTTACCTAGAGTAGGTGGAGTGGGACGGGGGAGTGTTCCAAGAAAACAACACACACAAAGGTTCTGTAAGAAAAGGGTAAACCCTAACAAGGTCAGTGCTGCTGGAGGAGAGGGGAGCGAACACTCCCGGTAAGGCTGCTGGAGAGGGAGTCTCTATACCTTAAAGAATCTAGGTTCTTATCCCAACAGGGAATGCCATTAAAGGATAGCATAATGATCAGACTTTCATTTGCAAAGATCACTTGAGCTTCAGTGTAGATTAGAAAATCAACTGGAAAGCAAGAAGGGTGGAGCTGCTCTCCCAATAGATCAAGCTGGAGAGGACAGTAAATTTAACTAAGGTGGCAGAAGAGAAGTGGGCAGAATGAAGGTGTTTACAACAAACCAAAATGCTAGTAAAATCTGTTTGATTAGAGACCCAGGATCACACTTAAATATTTTATCTGATCACTGGATGGATGGAGTGACTTAACTGAGTTTGGAAAGACTGAAGGAGACCAGGTGTATGGAAGGAAGTTAACAAACTGACAGAAACTTTGGAGCTGGAGATGCCTTTAAAACACCCAAGCAGAGAGCTCATAGAGATTTGCGTACTTGTAGATAGAGCTTGCTGCCAAGAGCATGGCTGAAACTTTGGAAAGCACACCATATGAGATTTTCATAGCACCACCACTAATCGCTCTTACTTCTGTGAAGGAGAAATGTTGCTGCTCTATCAGTAAACAAAGGATGTTGCAGCCATCAAGCCACCACATTGCAGCCTCCCCAGGTGAGCCCTGGGGGAACGCAGGATGGAAACAGGATGCCCCGCATCAAGCAGTCAGCTGCTGCAGCCACACCCTGAGGGGACTCAGGATTAAAAAGCACAGGACACTGGCCCCAGGTAGCTGAGGTGCATGTCAAAGGAATGATTTCAGTGAGCCCATACTCTTGCATATTCCCAGACATAGAAAAGCACTAAATTCCTTAGCTTGAGATGTCTGGTTTTCTTTAATTAACAGTAATCTTTTGATATTCTGACCACCTGGTCTTTGTTGATTATTTCCTGTTGTCATCCGTCTCCCGGCACCCTGGCCCCAGCCCCGCCCCGCCTCTTCAAAGCAGTCCCTCAGAGTGATTTGAGTCCTGTCTTCCGGGCTTGAAGTCCTTAGAAAGTCCGCCAAATAAAACATAATTCTCAACTTGTAGGTTGTGCATTTTTTCCAGTCAACACTTCTCTTATCTTCCCCCCACCACCAATGTCTGTCAAAAACAGCATCAGTGGCTCAGAGTAAAACATCCAACTTAATTTTTACACATTCATCCTTAACTTAAACCGTTAAAGAAAAACCTCACTTTAACTTGGTACCACAATACATTCATTCAGTGTGAAATATTTACAACCAGGGAAAACATATGTGGCCAACTCCAGAACAAAAGAATACAGGATATGTGTATGAATGTATACAGATATATTTTGATCTGTAAATGGACACAAAACTCTCTAAAATAACTGTGATCAAGATTTGTAATCTTTTTTCTCCAAAAAGGGGCAAGAGTTTTTAATGAAGTGACATTTTACTGTTGCTTTTCTTTCTCCACAGGTGATTTTTTATGTATCTCTTTAGTAAACGGTTCTGTTCAACTCCGCTACAATCTTGGTGACAGAACTATCGTTCTAGAAACTCTCCAAAAAGTAACTATTAATAGAAGTACTTGGCATGTGATTAAAGCAGGAAGAGATGGTGCAGAAAGCTACCTGGCTTTGGATGGGATAAATGTAACAGAAAAAGCCAACGCTAAAATGAGCTCCCTGGACACAAATACCGACTTCTATATTGGAGGAGTGTCATCCTTAAATCTTGTAAATCCCATGGCAACAGGGAAAGAACCTGTAGGTTTTCAAGGTTGTGTCCGAGAAGTTATTATAAATAATCAAGAATTACAATTAACCGAATTAGGAGCAAAAGGTGGTTCAAATGTAGGTGACTGTGATGGGACAGCCTGTGGGTACAACGTGTGCAAACACAGGGGTGAATGTATAGTAAATGGCACAACTTTTTCTTGTAGCTGCTTACCACAGTGGGCAGGAAATACATGTGACCAGTCTGTGTACTGTTTGAATAATCTTTGCCTCCACCAATCTCTATGTATACCTGACCAATCATTTTCTTACAGTTGTTTGTGTACTTTGGGTTGGGTGGGAAGGTATTGTGAAAACAACACTTCATTTTCAACTGCAAAATTTATGGGTAATTCTTACATTAAATATACTGATCCAGATTACAGAATGAGAAATCTTCAGTTCACTACTATATCCTTAAATTTCAGTACTACTGAAACAGAAGGTTTAATTGTTTGGGTAGGAAAAGCTCAAAATGAAGAAAATGATTTTCTGGCAATTGGTCTCCATAATCAGACCCTGAAAATAGCAGTTAACTTAGGAGAAAGCATGTCTGTACCTATGATTTATAGCAATGGTACATTCTGTTGCAATAAGTGGCACCATTTAATTATAATTCAAAATCAGACTCTTATTAAGGCCTACCTAGATGACAACCTAATTCTCTCTGAGGATACTAATCCACACAAAAAGTTTGTTGCTCTCAACTATGATGGTATTTGTTATCTAGGGGGCTTTGAATATGGCCGAAAGGTAAATATTGTTACTCAAGAGATTTTTAAAAGAAGTTTTGTTGGCAAAATTAAAGATGTATTTTTTCAGGATTCAAAAAAAATTGAGTTAATTAAATCAGAAGGATACAATGTTTATAATGGTGATGAACAAGATTAGGCTAACAAACTAGCAATTTAAATACATAAAATATATATGTAAATATAGTTGATAGTTATTTCTTTGGCATATTGTTTACTGGAAATCAACTGTTTACTATTACCTGAAATAGTCTAAATGTTAACACTTCTTTTTTTTTTTTATAAGCTTATAAAATATAGCTGAAGAAAAGATTTTGGTCATTTTTCCTACATCCAATTTATCTGAGTCCTGAGTTTTCACTCCATTAGTCCATTTAGTGTTTATTCATCTGTGAACTGTTTTTTAAATAAAATTTAGGTGAAAATGAATTAGTGATACATACAAAGAAAAATAAGAAAAAGGCAAAAGTATTAACCAAAGGAAAAATTAAAATTATTAACAAAGGAAATATCATAGCCTATTACATGGCTCAGCTATGAATAGTTATATGATTGAAATAATGTGAAATCTGAATACAGACTTAAACCAAAAATCATTGAATGGATGTGGGGAGGCAGAGATGGGGGAAAGGAGAGTTAGCTGGTGAAAGTTAAATCCTTGTCTTCCACAGTAAGTTATCAATAGATATTATAGTTGTTTTTTTTTTAACTTAAAAAGATAGCATAAAAATGTCACTCACAAATATCCTAAGAAATGTCTAAAAGAATTGGATATGGTTATCTCCGGAGAGCAGTGCAGACACTGTTGGGCTTTGTTTATAAATGCTGTAGAATTTCTTGACTTTTTAAACCATGTACTTATATAACTGATCAAATTTTAAAATTAAACTGCATTTATATTTAACCATTCAAGTCTACAGGTCTCCAAATTGAGCATAAAACAGGTTCTGAATATGTTATTGAAAATTGTCCTGATAATATCTGTGCCATTAAAAGCATAACTTGAGAAAGTACATTTTGCCCAAACACCAGTTACTGGTGTAACTGTGAAGAGCATTTTCACCCTCCCACCATTCAGACTGGGAGACAGTCATTGCTGCTGTTGTTACTTAACATTTTCAGAGTTTGGTATTTATGACAATTTTGCCACCAGGAAAGCAACTGACAACACATGACCGACATAAAGCTCTAACAGGTAGAACAGGACCATGTGGAGGAAAAGAATCTTGGTAATAGGAGCATGTAAAGTTGAAAAGTAAAAATCTATAATTATCTGTTAAACGGAGAAAAGACTTTACACATAGGATTGATGCACAGTTTAACTTGCCAATGCTATTAATAATCAAAATCTGCCTGAACAGATTCCAGTCTACACAAAGCAGCTAGATGCGAACAGTTTATCATTGCAGAACTTTACAGATTTTTTTTTTTTGACTTGTTATTTTTGCCACTCCATTGCAATCAGAAAGCTACAAACAGACTTGCAAAGCCCCAAAACCAAAGTTAAGAACTTTGGCATTATTCGATGGGACACAAAGTGTCCCCAGACATACTATTCCTATCAACATTAGAAAGTGTGTGAGCAAAATATAATGTAAGGTAGAACTGCAGAATGTCTATGCATCAATTCAAAGGTTTTGTTTTTTAACAGAAACTACACAAGACAACTCCATCCAACCTATGCTGAAAAATTGTGACCTAAATTTGCTTTGGTCCATACCATTCCATTTAACTTTGGAGTTGAGATCATAATGTTCTAAAAAAATTCCTTTTGATAGCTGACTTTCAAAGATACACATTTTATGCAAAAAGGCAAGAAAGCTGTTTTAGGAAGGCTACAAAAGCTTCAAGGAAACTTTGCCTATACCACACACCCATCACATTTGGCCACATCTTCTCATAATACAGTGTGCCTTTCTTTAAAGCAGCACTTCCCAAAGTAGAGTCGAAGGACCCGAGGGCTCCTAGATATTTTCAGGGGATCCAGATAGATTCTTCCTTTCCCAACAAATCTTTGTGAAGCCAGATCTTCATGTATTTCAAACAAAATGACATATTGCCAAACATTAAATGCAGAAGCAGATAAGAGAATCCAGCTGTGTCTCAAGTCAGACACACTGGAGACGTACAAACATGAAAAAGACCTCTCTCTTAACTAAACTGACTTAGCTTGCAAGTTATTTTACATAAAATGTTATTAACATATAATGGGATTACTGTCAAACAAGTATTTTTACAATTTAAAAAACTGTAATTTCTAATACGCTAAATAAGGATAGACATAATCCAAACAAAGCTCTTTAGAGGTCTCATTAACTGCTAACAGTGTAAAGGGGTCTTGAAACCAGTAAGTTTGAGAATTGCTGCTTTAAAGTTGCTTCTCACTGCTGTAGTCTTACATTCAGATGTGACCACTGGCCTTTCTACACCACACTACAAGCTCCAAGAGGTTGAAGGGTTAGGGTATTGCTCACTACTGAATTCTAAGAACCTAGCAAATTCCTGAAGAATAGGCACAAAAGAAGAAGTGAACACTGCTACCTAGAGATTCTCCTGTAAGTCAGAATGACTTAGTTAAAATATTTTTTCACCTTAAAATCCAAAACTTCATGTGGTAAGTTATCAACATTGTTTTTGCTATCCTAGTGATGATGGTGTTGAAGATTTCTATGATATGCTTTTCCATCAAGAATAAAAATTGCTAAGGACCTTTCAGATCATTTTACTATAATGTCATGATGCTTCTGAAAGTGTTGAATGTAAACATGAGAACATTTTTTAAAGCAAGCTGAAATACCTTAGCCAAGAGATAGAAATATTTACCTATAAAACAGTGAACTCACTTTTTTAAGACACTTCTAGCTATTGACCTAATATTTGTGTTTCAACTCACCCATTCATGTACTCTCTTGCTCTATACATGAATTAAAGTTCTTTATGAAACAGAAGCCAAAGAATCAGGGTGTTTGGCACCTTTATAAGAGCAGTAGCCAATTTTATTTATGATTTGCCTTGGGAGACAAAAGTCAAGTGTTGACTATGTGAACTGCCTTTTGTGGTCATTACTAAGTGGCAACCTGACTATTGTTCTACAGTGATCTGAGGAGATGGGAATAATGCAACCGGTATGTTCAAACATTTAAACTATTTGCTTTAATAAGATCCTGTTCACCAGCAAGCTCTCACAATGCACTTAAACTTGATTTCTACACAGCCGCTATTAAAAAAACTGAGAATAGCTGTATGCAAATTCACCAGCTGACAAGTAGTTTTATATTATTGCACATACATAAACACGTTAATAATATCCAAGTGGCTTGTCACTTCACTTTCCTATTGTTGGTATTATGTTTCTTAACTTTTAAACATTTACTATGGCCTTAGATGTTTCATAACTCCAAAAAACTTGTAACTAGGATTTGGTTCACCTACAATTTAAGCTACAATTAGCAAGTTAAGAGCTATGGTAAATAATGACCCTCAAAGTTGTACATCTCAATCCCTGGAAACTGTAAATATGCTAGGTTACACAGGAAAAGGGGAATTAAGGTCACAGATGGAATTTAGGTTGCTAATCAGTGGACCTTAAAATAAGTTTATCCTGGGCTTCCCTGGTGGCGCAGTGGTTGAGAGTCCGCCTGCTGATGCAGAGGACACAGGCTCGTGTCCCGGTCCAGGAAGATCCCACATGCCGCAGAGTGGCTGGGCCCGTGAGCCATGGCTGCTGAGCCTGCGCGTCCGGAGCCTGTGCTCTGCAACGGGAAGGGCCACAACAGTGAGAGGCCCGCGTACCGCAAAAAAAAAAAAAAAGTTTCTCCTGGATTATCTCTGTGGGTCCACTGTGCTCACAAGGGTCCTTAGAAGTGGAAGAGGAAATCAGAAGGGAGGGTCAGAGATGGCAGAAAGACTCAGCCCCGTGTTGCTGACTCTGAAGATGGAGGAAGGGGCCATGAGGCATGGAAGGTGGGTGGCCTCCAGAAGATGGAAAACGCACAGAAATGGGTTCTTCCCAGAGCCTCCAGAAAAGGAACGCACCCTCCGACAACACTGAGATCCCCATCAGACTTTGATCGACAGAAGCATAAGATAAATCTGTGTGATTTCAAGCCACTAAATTTGTAATAATTTGTTACAGCAGCAATAGAAAACTAATAAAAGAGGACTGGAGAATTAGGATTTGAAATGAATATAAACTTTGCAAATCTGTACAGGAGAACCCGGACTTTTGGTTATGTCTTTTTGCTCACTCTGAGGAATGGGTGGCCCGGTGACGTTTCAGACAGGTTGGTGTGATGGTGAGAGAAAAAGGGCTGTGAAAGGTGTGTGTCATCATCAGGCTTCTGTCCCTCTCCCATCCTCCATTCTCAGAGCACAACCACCACACATTCAGACTCTGGAGAAAAGTAGAACTGAGCTAGGATTCCAGCTCTGACAACAGCAGTCTAACCTTGGATGAGTTTTCCAACTTTTCTAAGTCCCAGTTGCCTGAGCTCTAAGGTGAGTCGTCACCTTGCAGGCTGACCGAGGTTCACATAAAGCGCTCAACATGAGGTCTGACATACGGAGTGTTCATGGAGGCTTTCTTACCGACAAAAGGATTACAAGGAGTGGACTTGGTAAGTACTGAGACACCCTGGTACATTTTACTTAACAGGTGTGTATAAACTGTCTTAAGATGGTTCTAAATATTTGAAAACATCAAACTGTTTTTAAAGAGCAGGTTTTTCTTAAAACAGGAGAAACTAAAAGATGACCTTCATATAACTACTAGTTTGTGTAAGGATGGTTGGTAGGTGAAACTGAGAGAATGAGAATGGCTTTGGAGCTACTACTACTCATTTGAGAACTTTTCTTTCTCTTTCTTTCCTCACAAGTTAAAAGCCTCAAAATACTCAATATGTCCATACCTACTCTCCACAATATTTCAGTCCCAGCAGTTAGGAGACCTGGTTCCAGCATTTAGCAGCCCTGTCGTACCAGATGGTCATTACTAACAGAGGGCTGTATGGGATCTACCGTGATTCTACGAGATATGAAGAATTTTAAATTTCCCAACAATATGTATAAAAAATTATTGGCTAAGACGTAATCAAAAACTGACTTAAAGGCTTTCTTCAGTTGGTTAATCCATTCTTCTTG